TCTCTCTCTCTCTCTCTCTCTCTCTCTCTCTCTCTCTCTCTCTCTCTCTCTCTCTCTCTCTCTCTCTCTCTCTCTCTCTCTCTCTCTCTCTCTCTTTCACTCTCTCACTCTCTCTCTATTGCGCGAATATTTTGAGTGCCGACGTTCGAATTCTCATACACATATCATATGTATGATTGTACAATCATCGTACGGTATTGCGATGTCTTTGGTAGAAACTATTTGGTACGTTTGCGCCCATTCGGAAGGTCGGTGCAGAGCCATGAAGTTACAACGAATGAACAGCTTGCAGGGGATAAGGTAGTTCACAGGGAAACAAACATCAACAACAATGATTCCTCAAGTATCAACAACATTAACAACATCCCATTATAACTTATCATCATTATTGTGATCGTCTCTATCGTGATCAGTTTTTTTCTTCTTAAATGTCGTTACAGTCGCTGTCGTTAAGTCTCAGTCTTTCGCCACACCTTCAGCTCGATAACATTTGTAATGGGTAATTCTAATTATCATAGCAATCATTGTCTTCAGCAACATCGTCACTACTGTTACAGTTAATTATTTATGGCCATTGTCAGCGTATCCTTTCTCGCTTCTTCCTATGGCCATCTTTCACTCTATTTCACTAGCTTCATTAGCTTCTCTTCGCATTTACAATAAACGTTCACGCGAATTCTCACTCACTACCGATCAAATCTAGTAATAATCAATCACTCTGGAACTTTTGAACAGAATTATAAATACACACGGATGACCTATCGATGACGAGTCAACGAACAGAGCTAGAAATGCTAGAGAGCGGAATGAAGAAATGATTACTTCCTTTACAATTGCGTACGAAACATGAGAAACGATGATAAATGATACCTTACACGCTTGATCGATCGATAGTTCCGTTACCAATTAAAATTACAAAGTTCCTTAACCGTATAACATCTACTAACGCTTCATACACGTACTTATATATTGCGCGAATATTTTGGTATAAAATGTCTGTCCTTAGTCCACGGTAAATAAAAAGCGAGCCTTTCAAACACGTCCATGCAACTGGTTTCCCTTTTGATAATCTAATTATAATAGTTGCGTCGGTGTATTTGTTTTAAATATATTACGTGTTTATATGTGATCTACAAACATTTAAAATTCATCGAAATAACAGAGGAGAACAAGTATTCTCACGCTCCTTCTGTGCAAAGTAATACATATATAAATACATATATATATACATATATACGTTTTCCTCGTATGTATATATATGTACATATACATATACATATGGCGTATTAGGTCACTGTCTTATAGATGCAGAAATATAGAACGCAGTCTTTCCCTTGTACATAAATAGTTTCCTCGAGAGCAATGGCACTAATATATGTAATTTCAGGATTTCTTACTTTGTGCGGTAAATGGTATCAAAATAGATATTGTTTCGACTATTTGTTATACAGTACAAGTAGACAAATATAGTATAAGAAATATGTAATTGCGTCGAGGAAATGTTTTACAAACTATCGTCACATTTTCAATCTACAAAATCACCGTCCTTAAAAAATCAGAATAAATTAGAATTATTGTCGTAATTACCTATTAACTGATCTTATGGCTTTCGAGGAAAATTATATAGATCGCACAATATTCTGACCGCTCACTGCATTTCGGTATCTATACGAGAGCAATTGATTCAGAATTATTCTTTATAGAAACGCGTAACATGCGGCCTATGCGCGCGACATAAAAATCGATAAAACGCCTTCAAAGTTTCGTCTCGAACATACGATATATAATCGGCCCCTCATTTTTTTTAACAATTTATGCTCGAAATAAATACTCCATATGACCGCATGTTACATTCTTAACAGTATGAAGATACCCTTAGAATGATACTTAAAGCTCTTACAACTTTTACAACACACTTGCGCACAGAGAGTAGTAATAGCTGGGGTTTGGACTAGACGTGATGCGGTTGAAGATGAGGCAGCCTGCTGGATAAGTTGGATCAGGATTTCATACTATTCGCTTCATCGAGTCGCCTTTCTGTTCCTACCCTTAATAAATTTGCAAATTCCATTTCTAATAATTGTCGAGCCTATTCGAATAAAAGATCATAAGTTAGTAGAAGCTATGTATAAGCACTGACTTCTAAATGTAAAACTTACTTGTGTATTTTGTGTTGGGATTTGCAACGCTAGGGCCAAACTATTCGCATCGAAACTGTCATCAAGGGCTATAAGCGCTCCATGTACCCCCGATTCCAAAAGGTTGTTCCCATATTCCTGAAGATACAAAATGTATTTTATTTCAAGTACTTAATAAACTCTAAAAGAAAATGAGAACTATGTTCTCGCCATTACTTTCAGGCCGATAGATTGAACCCATCTTATAACGCGATCGTTGCTCCACACAAGAACATCCACGTTGGCATCTTCTGCCATTTGTCTTCTTTCTTCTAATTGTTGCCTATCATAATTCAGTCGCTTCAAACAGGAAATGCCATACTGCAAACTT